ATGTCACTCAGCCTAACTGCACTGCACACAGCCTAACTGTGTATGTCACTCAGCCTAACTGCACTGCACACAGCCTAACTGTGTATGTCACTCAGTCAAACTTGGCAGGTTTGTTGTGGGAAATGAGCGTCTCCCAGAGTCTGACCCACTTTCACATATAAATCCCGTTAATGAATCCGGTAAAAACAACACTGGATTGGCCACAAATTGCCATCTCACTCAGTCCTCCATGACGGTACAGTAACAGGTAACGGTGTATCCCAACTGATACCTCAGTACTATTTCACTCATAAAAGCCTTCTGGGAATTTTGAGAGACTTATTTATAAATGCATAACAATTATGTGGTTGTTCTACCTCCCAGTACTGGTTAGACACACTGAAACCACGTTAATCCCTCCATTCTGCCTGGCTTTTCTGTTCCAGTGCCAGGCGGATCCGACGGCCCTAGTGGGGTTCTCATCTGCTCTGAGAACTACATCACTTACAAGAATTTTGGGGACCAGCCTGACATCCGCTGCCCCATCCCTCGGCGGAGGGTGAGTGGGGTGGGGGGTGGGGGGGCTTGGACCCCCCTCAGCTTGGGGAGTGACTGGTTAGCAGCGTGAGAAGTCAGCTTTTAAACAATGCCCTCGGGTTGAATCACTTGAACACGTTCCGGCCACATGTTTGGATTATTACAGGAAAGTTCTTATGCAGCTATGCGTGTCTTTTATTTCTCTCCCAGCTCAAAACACTGAGTCTGGAATTTTGGAAAATGTGCGGTTTGGTCCTCTATTGAACTGGAAAACAAATACTGCAAATGGAGATGTGAACAAGCTCTTATTGGCCAGTTACAAGTACTAGCTGGCTTAACCCTTACTCTGGAAATGCTCAAAGATAGCATTATTAAAGGGGCAGTTCACCCTAAAACTGAAAAAAATATGCTTTAGGGGGGCTTTAGTGCAAGTTAACCATCTCGGTGGTGGTTCTGGGAGTAGGGCTGGGCATCATTCAACATTTTTCATAACCAGTCCCCAGGAGCCACACGTTTGATTTCCTTGGGCATTTTTTACACTACGCAACAAACAAAAACGAAAACATGCATGACACCCAGTTCAGATTGTATGTGGACATGCGGTTCTCCTCCAGCGTTGTGTTACATTGTGTTAGACAGCCAGTCGCCAGCCACTTTAGAACTTACACAAGTATTCTGCATGCTTATTAGCTGACAGGCACTGCGAGTTACTGTTCCGGTATCTCAATTTGGCACCGAAAGAATTTTTTTTTTATAGATCCTCAATGGGATTGGAGCATTTTGGTCGGTATCACAAAAGTGCTGAAGTTACCCAGCTCTAGCTGGGAGTTTCCTTGTTTTGGAGAGAGATAGCTGTAGAAATGTTGGGCATCTCCGGAATATAATGGGAGTTAGTGGCATTCCGTTTGTGGTGATTAAAACGCCAGAAAAATGCATCTGAAAAATCCAGTAGTAATGTCTTTTACCAGAAAGCATGACCCGGTTATTGTAGGTAATTTCGAAGTTTAATGTACAAACTATTTTCTTCTGCTGAGCTCCACACACGAGTCACTGCGCAGAAGGTGCAAACACCCTGTCAGTATCTGCGAGGTGACATGACTAGTGCATGGAGTTCGGTAGAGGAAAATGGTTCCTGATTTTTGGTAAGTCGCATTGTTGTTTTTGGGTGAACTGCCCCTTTAAATGTGCTGGTGCCCTGTATTGTGAATTGCTTCGACAGCCCTATCTGTAATACAGAAAACAAAAGCCTGGCCTCTAATTTTCTGAGGTTGACAGCACGCTTTCTGCCCTAGGAAGAATGAAAATGTGCAAAAAAAGATGAAGCTCCTTCCCGTTATTCTGAGTGCATTTTTATAAACACATTTCAAATTAAGGGGTAAATCTTGTATTTTTAAAAGCCTGTTTGTCTGTTTATATGGTTCTATTCAAACTCTGTGCATCACTGCTCACATTGAGTAACATGGAAAAAATGCAGAGTATGTGGTGTGGCCCTGGAAGCTTGTAGGGTCGTAGCCTTGGCAGGTCGGGGAGATGCGTCGCAGATGTTGCGGATGTGATGAGTTTGCTCATGTCTCTTCTCTGACTTCTCACTGGAGAGAATGTGTGACAATCTGATCCCAACTCCTGCTTCACATAAACTGTCAGCGAGGCAGTTTAGGGGTCAGTCAGGACGCCTCAGGTCTCACCCCATGCTATATGTATGAATGTCTCTTAATAGCTTTGGGGGGGTACTGACACTTTTAAAATATGAGTAGATGTTCACAATATGATGCAAATAAATAACAGATCCATTGCAGCAAACATGCAAGTGTGAAAACTGAATATTCATACCTATAGTTAATAAACGCACATGTATAATTTGCACAGTGTACACATTCAGACGTCTGTTACTGCTCTTATGTGCTGCCTATTCAATATCTATTCTTTTTTATAATTGTTTTTGTCCAATTTTACTCCATTGCATGTTGTGTGGCACATATCTGACTGCTCACCAGAACAAATTCTGTGAATGTTAATATCGTTTGCAAAATAGAGCGGTTCTGGTTAGATTCCTTGGGGCAGCCATGTCGGGCCGGATTCAAAAAGGGGCTGAATAGTCTTTCCCTCTGGCAGAATGACCTGGACGACCCAGAGCGAGGCATGATTTTCGTCTGCTCGGCCACCCACAAGACCAAGTCCATGTTTTTCTTTCTGGCCCAAACAGAGCAGGGCGATATCTTCAAAGTTACTCTGGAGACCGATGAGGAGATGGTGAGTGGGTGGTTTGGGAGGTGGGGTGCAGTGCCTGGGGGGGGGGGGGGGGGGGGTCATGCTCTGTGAGGGTAGAGGAAGTGATGAGTCTTCATGTCTCTTCTCTGATGTTGCTGGAGAAAGCGTGGTGTCCTCTGAGATCTGTCCATATGCTTGCTAACGAGCAGCACGGAACTCCGTATGTTCACGTTAACGTGTGATGTGATCTCCTGCAGGTCACGGAGATCAGAATGAAATACTTTGACACCATCCCCGTGGCGACGGCCATGTGTGTGCTGAAAACTGGCTTCCTGTTCGTCTCCTCTGAGTTCGGAAACCAGTGAGTACCAAAGTCTTGAGTGGATGCTGTGTTAAGTGACCTCCACTGCCAATCTGGAGCAAGATCTCTAGAATTTTTTTCCCCATTTGTGGTGTAATGGTGCACAAAACTCACGGCGCACACTTCAGTTTTGGAATTGCAGTTCGGTTCAGTTTCGGTACAGAAGGGAAGACGAATTGTTTTTGAAATTTATTATTAAAACTGTAAGCGCACTGCAAACCCTAATTAGGAACAGTTGCAATCTAAAGGCAACGTGTCTGACGGCTGAAAAACAAAGTTTGACATGCATATTTGCTCATTGTAAAGATAAATATGTGAAATAAAAATTCAGATTTGCAGCTCATTATGAATGCTCCTGCTACCGAATGTGGCCCCTTTTTGTAGCGAATAACCCTGTAGCTGTATCTACATTTTTGTTCCAGTCTGAATTCTTGGCAAAAGCCCACGGGCAGTTTGTCATGCTCCAGCCGTATAGACATTCAGACCATGTCGCCTCGAATCAGTTGGCATGTATAACAGAGCCGACGGACAGTCTTGGCCTTTACTTTCTCCAGTGTTGATGTAATTTGTTGGGAAACTACAATGTTCCCAAATGGCTATTTATGAATGACTTTGAGCAGCGTTAGCAGCAACCAGCTCACAGCTCCAAATACCATAATGTTTCATTCATTCGGTATTCATTCATTTCACTGTGTTTAGCGAACTGAAGATGATATACAGAAAGGTACTCGAACAATACCGCTATTGTTACTGCCGCAGTATTAATAGGCGTTGGTCTTGGTCTCCTGTGTGACAGTTACCTGTACCAGATCGCCCACCTGGGCGATGATGATGAGGAGCCTGAATTCTCCTCCGCCATGCCCCTGGAAGAAGGGGACACCTTCTTCTTCCAGCCGCGGGCTTTGAAGAACCTGGTGCTGGTGGATGAGCAGGAGAACCTCTCGCCTATCATGTCCTGTCAGGTAGGGGGCGTGTGCTGCAGTGTGGTGCAGTGAGACTGCAGTAGTTGCACGTCTGTTGGACACGCATGTCCTGCCTCTGTCCCCAGATTGCCGACCTGGCCAACGAGGACACCCCTCAGCTGTACGCGGCCTGCGGCCGGGGACCGCGATCCACGCTGAGGGTTCTGAGACACGGTCTTGAGGTACGGCTGCGGGCTTGCGGTGGCGTCTGAGCTGCTGCGCAGTGGATATTACGGCCGATGTGGACGTGATGAGTTTGTTCATGTCTCTTCTCTGACTCATTCCATTCCTGGAGAGGACTTATACGGATCTGATCCCCTGGCCTGAGCCGAGCTGGTGAACATTTTGCGCGTTCTTCAGATTTTGTGTGCTTAGTTCTCCGCCACTTCCGCAGGTATCCGAGATGGCCGTGTCGGAGCTTCCGGGTAACCCCAACGCCGTGTGGACCGTGCGGAGGCACATCGAAGGTACTGCCACCGTGCGGGTGGGGGGGGGGGGGGGGTTGCAATTTACCCGAGGCATGCTGGGATTCCCTATGGAATCGAAAGTGTGTTGAAGGCTACGTTCTAAGCCTGACTGGCAAGTTGGGGCATTTGTCATATGGGTGTGTCTGATTATGGGAGAGATCTGTACCCACGTCGGGAGAATTCACCCAGGCAGTGATTGTCAGGCTTCCTGCTGCGGCTCGTTATCCAGTGTTCCCGCCAGCTGCGACAGAGCCACGCTCTGGTGGGTGTGAGATCCTGTGCTGGTGTCAGGAGTGGCGGCCTGGAAATGCTCCCATTGTCTGTGCCAAGGTTTTCCTTGAAACCATGTGATCTCCGAGATGAACATCGAGTGCTAAATTGCCAAATCTTGGTGGTAAATTATTTTTTGGATCAGGAATGTGTTTTATCTTATATATGATAGGTACCTATGTTGTGAAATCTTGATGAGTGCAGCCTTAGTTAATTAAAAGTGGCATTGCTATTTTGGGTTTTTCAAAAGCTGTGTTATGCTGAATTATTTTGCTGGAATAGCAGGATTAAGTGTGCAGGCCCGATGTAACAGTTTTAACATTGATTTCTCATTTCTCCCTGCCATGACTGCTTCTCGAGTAACTGAGTCATTGCTAATCTGTTTTATCAGCTGGCCTTGTTTCTGAATAGCGCCGCGAATTTAAGGTTACCTGTTATACGAGGCTCTTATAGCTACTTAATGTACCGTGCAAATCGATGCTGCTGCTTCCATTTAAGATTTGAGCGATTTTGCTTTTTATTGACATTCATCGGTGGACAGTAAAGGTTTTGGGGCATGTCCCCGCAGGCCTGTAATCGGCACACCTTGTGCCTTGCACTCCCATGTCAGTTTAAAGAAAATTAGCTGTGAATCGTCAATGTCATAGCCGATCCACAAAGTCTGCAAAGTCGGATTTGCAGCGGCCAAGTGCTGGTGGGGTTAGAGTTAGAGTTAGGTGGATCCCTCTGCTTGACCTCTCCCCCCTCTCCCCCCCAGACGAGTTTGACGCATACATCATCGTGTCCTTCGTCAACGCCACGCTGGTGCTGTCCATCGGAGAGACTGTGGAGGAAGTCACTGACTCTGGCTTCCTTGGCACCACGCCCACCCTGTCCTGCTCCCTGCTGGGCGAGGACGCGCTGGTGCAGGTACGCTGTCCTGCTGAGGGTGGGGTGGGGTGGGGGGCTGATACCCGGCTGCTGATACACATCCCCCCCCCCCTTCTCCAGGTGTACCCAGACGGGATCCGTCATATCCGGGCAGACAAGCGTGTCAACGAGTGGAAGACCCCAGGCAAGAAAACCATCGTGCGCTGCGCAGTGAACCAGAGGCAGGTGGTCATCGCCCTGACCGGCGGCGAGCTGGTCTACTTCGAGATGGACCCCGTGAGTGACCTCCATGTCTGCGTCAGGTTGGGTTTGGGGCGCCGGGAGTTTCCCGTCTTGTAAAACAACACGTTTTGTTTGTGTTTTTATGGGATGCCCTAGCTCATGAGAATTTTTAATTAAAGGGATAAGCTGCTTACTTATGGGTGATTTGGTTTTATGTTTCTGTCATATGTGATTTTCACAATTGGCCCGCATTTTTAACCTTAAGTGACCCTGTTTGCGGGGGGTGGGCATTCCTGAGGAATGTTCTTGTTCCAGCAAAAGCCCGCTTCACCGCTGTTACTGAGAGTATGTGTGCGAGGCAACAGCCAAGTGTGGGAACGCACCTTAAATGGCCTGTAAGCTGACCATCCTGTCTAAGATTTTAGACTTCTCATAAAATATGGTGCCTTGCTGTGTACTAGGCTATACCATCTAGGGTTATGGAAGCGCACTGTGATGTAGGCAACGATGAAATCGCCTAACGACTCATTTCTCGGAGTGTATCCCACCGCTGAGGGGAGCGTTTCTACTTTTTCCACTTTTCTTAACCCACTTGTATTGTTATGCTGTATCTTTCCTGTAACTGATACAACTGTCGATGCCATATGTAGTTCATTAACTGCATCAGTCACTCGTACTTCTGCTTGTTTTGCCCTGAAGTAGGATTCTGGCAAGTTAAAATGTAACTAAACATTCTGGAATGTTCTGACTCATCCCTTCTCTGACCCGCCGCAGTCGGGGCAGCTGAACGAGTACACGGAGCGGAAGGAGATGTCCGCCGACGTGGTGTGCATGAGCCTGGCCAACGTGCCCGTCGGCGAGCAGCGCTCTCGCTTCCTGGCCGTCGGCCTAATGGACAACACCGTCCGCATCATCTCGCTGGACCCCTCGGTGAGGCCCCTCCCCCAGCTCCGTGACTGTCCTGCTGAGTACTCTCTCTGCCCTTGAGCGGTTCCTCCATCTCGTTTATCATGCGGCGCTTTTTTTGGCCCCCCGATGAATTTGGGCAGCTGTCAGCGTGTCACGCGTTTGCCCCTGGGGTGTGTTGGCTCCGGCTGCCCCAGCTGTGGGCCGTGATCTCAGCCCGCAGCTGTGTCTGCTGCGAGTGCCCTAAGGACACGGGTGGATATACTGTTTGTTTCCCGGTAGCTCATAACCAGTTTGGCCCTTTTTTCCAGCTCCTACTATTGTTGAGCTGTGTTGTTTAGCTTTTCCTGCTCTTACTGTGTGTAAATAAGCTCCCTGTCGCCCATGTCCTGCAGGACTGTCTGCAGCCCCTCAGCATGCAAGCCCTTCCTGCCCAGCCGGAATCCCTCTGCATTGTGGAAATGGGTGGGGTGGAGAAACAGGACGAGCTGGGGGAGAAGGGCGGCGTGGGCTTCCTCTACCTCAACATCGGTCTGCAGGTGACAGCCCCGTGACACTGGAGAAACTGTCCTTTGTGAAGCTGACTTGACCGGACCTTGGAATCCTCTCGCTGACCACCTGTCCTCGTCGCGGTCTTTCCGCAGAACGGGGTGCTGCTGAGGACCGTGCTGGACCCTGTGACGGGGGACCTGTCCGACACCCGCACCCGCTATCTGGGGTCGCGGCCTGTCAAGCTCTTTCGCGTCCGGATGCAGGGGCAGGAGGCTGTAAGTTGATGTCCTGTGTCCTGCATGGTATGTTTTGAGGGCGTGGCTCTGCTGGCTGGCTCAGGCTGACCTCTGACCCCTGCAGGTCCTGGCCATGTCCAGCCGCTCCTGGCTTAGCTACTCGTATCAGTCCCGCTTCCACCTGACACCTCTGTCCTACGAGACGCTGGAGTATGCATCGGGTTTTGCCTCCGAGCAGTGCCCCGAGGGTATCGTGGCCATCTCTACAAACACTCTGAGGTACCCCCACCCCCCACCCCCTCATATGAAAGGCCTCTGGTGGCCCAGAGTGCGAGAATCTGCCTCAGTTACTGTTCAACTATCTGACCAGATCTGGTTGCACTCGAATAATCAGAGGAACTAATTGAGCTGCAGTCTTACAATTTGATTTACTTTAAAAGTGAATCAAATTTTTAATCAAATTTATTTAAACCACTCTCCTTAAAGCATCTTGTGCATGAGTAATCATGTGGCCAGAAAATCTATAAATGGATATCGCAGAAAATCCACGCGGTCCCAGGCCGGTTGGCCGTTCGTCTGGCCCCTCTGGACACCTGATGGCACCCTTAGGTCATGTGCCAGTTACTGAGCCTGGCAGATGACTGGTGCAAAGGGCATGACCTTTAAGACAAGAAACAGGCTTTTGGAATTTTCTTTCTATTCAAGTTAATGCAAAAACCGGTTGTAATGTGCTCTTGGTTCTGGTTCTTGCTTTGCTATAGAGCAAACAGGGTGTGTTTTCTGCAGGTGTAGCTGCTTTGTGCCTTGCTTTAGGCTGCACACATTAACAAATCGCGTATGAGTCGTCTTTAAGCTGTTGAACTGATTTTGAGGGTTAATGAGTGTGACAGGCCTGATTTTCAAGTCATTTCTAGGTTTGATTGATGTGGTCTTTCCTCGCTGAGATTTTGTATGCTTCTCTCTCCATTTTCTTCCTCCTGCCGCCACGTCTTCCTTTAGAATTTTGGCTCTGGAGAAACTAGGAGCAGTCTTCAACCAGGTGGCCTTCCCCTTGCAGTGCACGCCACGTAAATTTGTGATCCATCCCGAGACGAACAACCTCGTCCTGATCGAGACGGACCACAATGCCTACACAGAGGCCACCAAGGCACAGCGCAAGCAGCAGATGGCCGAGGTGTGTGCTGCTGGTGACAGCTTTCGCGTGTAGGGTTGCAAAGATGTGGAAAAATTCCACAAACTTTCCATTCGGTGGGAAGTTTAGGTAGAGAATTTTGGAAACATTCCACGTTGGAAACCTGTCATGGAAATTTAAGGGGTATATATGGGAATTTAACAGGAAAATTTCCAGAATTTTGCAACCCTATTCACATTTAAGTACTGACTGCTTTTACGGAACCTTAAAGTAGCTCATTGCAAATATAAGCCATTCATGGACAGATGCTGATATCCATAGTGACCAAACCTCCTGAGTCTCCCCCAGCTATATTGTAGTAGTTGTTTCAGGTCTTGTGCACTATGGCTGTTTTCCTTTAGAATGGCTGATGGTCTGTAAATGTGGCACAGATGTCCTTTATATAGCATAGTATATAGCAGGTGCATTTAGAAGGTAGTACATAGAAATGTTGAAAATAAAAACTGGTCCTAGATCAGTGTCAGCCCTACTTGCACCTGTTAGCACCTGTCGGCCTGGTGCAGGTCAATTCCTGTGGCCTCATTCCTCTTTGCATCCCTGATCTTCTGCAGCCTGATTGCTATCTACCTTAAAGATCTGGTTCTAACAAAGAACGTCTTTCTTAGTACTAATCTTACAAATGCATGACTTAAGCTAAACGGATCCTGCTCTCAAGCGTGTTGTGACAGGGATGCACACACAAGTGACTTGAAAGAACTCGCCGGCACGTTCTGTTTCCCCTTGTATGAGGCTGTCCTCTGCGTTATGAATGAGGATCTGACATCCCTGCCGCCTCTCTGCTGCCCCCTGCAGGAAATGGTGGAAGCTGCCGGGGAAGACGAGAGGGAACTAGCTGCGGAGATGGCCGCCGCCTTCCTGAACGAGAACCTCCCGGAGGCCATCTTCGGCGCCCCCAAGGCCGGTTCGGGTCAGTGGGCCTCCCTGGTGCGGCTCGTGAACCCCACCCAGGGCGGCACACTGGACCTGGTCCAGCTGGAGCAGAACGAAGCCGCCTTCAGGTTGGTGTGGGGGGGGGTACCGTGACCACGAAAAACGGCAGGGGCCTTTCGGGAGCTGCCGTCATGACCCCCACTCTCTGTGCAGTGTGGCCGTGTGCCGCTTTGCCGGGGGTGGCGAAGACTGGTATGTCCTTGTGGGCGTGGCCAGGGACCTGATTCTCAATCCTCGCTCGGTGGGCGGCGGCTTCATCTACACCTATCGCATCGTCGGGGGCGGCGACAAGCTGGAGTTTGTACACAAGGTGAGCGGCGTAAAACGTAGACGCAGAGCGTAAGATCGCTCGCGTTCCTCCGGCCAGCGATCCCACAGTAGCGACATGGCTGGCCGTCGCGGCAGCCAGCTTGTCCCCTGGGTGGGTATCCATGTGCTCGTCTCTTTCAGACACCCGTGGAGGACGTCCCCCTGGCCATTGCCCCCTTCCAGGGCCGCGTGCTGGTGGGTGTTGGCAAGCTGCTGCGGATCTATGACCTCGGCAAGAAGAAGCTGCTTCGGAAGTGTGAGAATAAGGTGCGTATGTGTGTGCTGGTGGAGCCCTGCATGCTGAAGGTCACGCCGGGGTCCCACTGCCTCCAGCTCCCTCTGTCTGCCTCATGTCAGTCCTGCTCTACAGCCCTCTGTGCCCAATGGTCCAACCATCCCCCCCAGGGTCACACTGCCTCCAGCTCCCTCTGTCTGCCTCATGTCAGTCCTGCTCTACAGCCCTCTGTGCCCGATGGTCCAACCATCCCCCCCACTCTATTTTTATTAAATCTTTCTATCCTGTAGATGCTGTATCCCGTGAATGTTCATCATGGCGCTTAAATATAACTAACCGGGTGATGTCTGCATAGCCTTGGGAAGTATTAGTGTAAAACGATTCTTGTGTCCACAGGCAGAAACATTTGGGCTGCCCCCCCCCCGCCCATTTTTTGGTCTGTAGTCATAATGACATGTAGAGTACAAAGTGTCCCCAGAAAAAGGATTTTCCTGGCTGGCTTCCCAAACAGCCTTGAGTCAATCACTTTTTCCATGTTTGTGCTCGGATTTGAGGCCGGCCGCCTGTCTTGTGTGTCTAGCATGTTCCCAACCTGGTGACGGGGATCCATACCATCGGCCAGCGGGTCATCATCTCAGACATCCAGGAGAGCCTCTTCTGGGTGCGCTACCGGCGTAACGAGAACCAGCTCATCATCTTCGCGGACGACACCCATCCTCGCTGGGTCACCACGGCCTGCCTGCTGGACTACGACACCATGGCTTGTGCTGACAAGTTTGGCAACATCAGCATTGTATGTGCCCCCCCCCCCCCTTACATCCTAGCTTCCAAACTGGGCCAGAAAAAGCCAGAAGTACTAGATATAAACATATTGGTAAACACTTCTGTCCATTGCAACATACAAGTGAGGCAAACATGCATTCTGTCAAGGACTCGATCAGGTGTAACTTCAGCTACAGTTACACTTATTCCAGTGAACGCCCAGGTGCAACTGTAAGCAGGAGCAACACAACTTCTAACAAAGCAAGTAACTAATATGACCATTCAAGGACCAGAAGTGAAACAACAACAATCAGGGAAAATGAGGCGTCAGGCTGGTAGGAGACAGACTAAAGGGTCTCGCCAAATAGAATGACGTGGTTGTGTACAGCAAGTTAAATTGGGCCTCTTGTCTGCATGTGCATAGAGGAGTGCATTGTGAATGATTTTCCCCGCACTGTCCCCCCAGGTTCGACTGCCCCCCAACACCAGTGATGATGTGGATGAGGACCCTACCGGGAACAAGGCCCTTTGGGATCGAGGTCTGCTGAACGGGGCTTCCCAGAAAGTAAGGCGGTGTGCCAGGCAGTCTGTGCGATAGCTCCGGGGCCGTGCCAGCAGACTGGCGGCAGTGCCCAGGCGTGGGTGCCTTCTGCTCCTTCCCATGCTTCAGCACTCTGGCTGGCTGTGTGGAGGCAGACAAAATCAGCACTCTGGAATTTCCCTGTTTTCTCTTCTCATTAAATGATTGTACATGCTCAAGGTCATGGGTTCAAATTCCACGGTCCGCAGGGTAATCTTATTGCCCCTGGGCCTGCGTGGGTAAAAGTGGGCGTGTGTGTGTTCTTCGGTTTCCCCCTAAACGCTGTCCCCCCTCCCACCTTCCAGGCAGAGGTCATAGTGAACTACCACATCGGGGAGACGGTCCTCTCTCTGCAGAAGACGACGCTGATCCCTGGGGGCTCGGAGTCGCTGGTCTACACCACTCTGTCTGGGGGCATCGGCATCCTGGTGCCCTTCACCTCCCATGAGGTACCAAGTCTGCATGGGAGAGCGGCTTTCAGGGCTGATGTGGCCCGCTGTGGGTGGGCCCATCGATTTTAGAGATGCTTCCTTTTGGGAAGTCTTTACGTTTACATATTAGCGTGTTTCTCTCTAAAGCCAGAATCATTCAACTTTATTATCGCTGAGCCAAGGTACAAGACCTCGGACAACAAACTGCAGTTTGTCATCTAGTTTGCCCAGAATTTCCCCCCGGAATCAGAATTAATCTTAATCTTTAAGATTAAAAGTACAGAATAGTGCAAAAATGCTAGAAACAGCTGTACAGTATATGCATGTGATAAATTGAAAAAGGGACATCTATACCGTGGTATACATGGTGTGGTATAAGTAATGAAGAGCATCTGACTGCAGGAGGGAGGAATTATTCTGTCTGTGTATGAATATGGTTTTGGTGACATGCAGTGAAAATGCCTGCTCTCCATAACTTGCACCCCCACCTCCACCCCAGGACCACGACTTCTTCCAGCACCTGGAGATGCACATGCGATCAGAGTTCCCCCCACTCTGCGGACGAGACCACCTCAGCTTCCGCTCCTACTACTTCCCAGTCAAGGTGGTCCCGGGGGGGGGGGGTCAGACCGTCGCTACCTCTGTAAAAATGTGTTCACTGCCCCCAGCTGGTCCTCTCCTGTCTTTCAGATGCACTGCCTTTAAATTTTCGTGTAACACTGTGTTCTCAACTGGTGGGTTGTTGGGTCATTTCCAGTGGGTCCTGGGTGAGTTTGGCTACCACTCCCCACCCACCCCCATCAGCAAGATCACCTCAAGTTCTGATTCAATGACCAAGTAAAACTGGATCCTGGAGCCAAACCAGTTTTGAGAGCCGCTTTAAGAAGAGTCTAAAAATGTCTAAGTACACTAAGGAGGTTGATGTTTTCTGGCTGCTTGTGCCTTTTCGGCCCTTTGTGGTGCGGGGAGACGGAGATTTCCCGTCCCACCCCCAGCACTCTGACGCTCCGCCTGTCTCCGCAGAATGTCATCGACGGTGACCTGTGCGAGCAGTTCAACTCCATGGACCCCCACAAGCAGAAGAGCGTGTCAGAGGAGCTGGATCGCACCCCCCCCGAAGTCTCCAAGAAGCTGGAAGACATCCGCACCCGATATGCATTTTAGGCTGACTTACCATGCAACGGAAGTGGGGGAGGGGGGCGCTCTCGCACATGGATACCTGCACAGGCTTCTGTTCCTGCAGACTCTGGCTTGAAACTGATGAATCGTGGCTTTATTTTGCCCTAATGCCGCCTCCCTCCCTTGCATATTTACTTTTCATTTGGATGCTGGCTGATTCCTGGCAGCCAATCAATGGGCTTTTTACAAAGATGTACCCAAACGGTCCAGAGTCCCCTGTGAAAACCTTTTCTGTAGCTTGTTGTTGTCCTTCAAGCGGGGCAATGAAGCTCTGTCGCCGATTTATCCTGCCACACAATACATCTCAGATCCCAGCACCGCATCTGAGATGTCAGGGAATAAAGAGTGATGCAGACTGTCAGCTGAACTCTTAAGTACAAATTCTAGAGATTCAACTTATTTGCTGGTTGAAAGGTGGTAGTGTTAGAGGTGTTTTTCCACCCCTCCCTTCTCAGATGATGATGATTGCTGTTTCTTCCTGAAGGATTCTAAGCTGTTGGAAGTAAACTCTGTAAGTGGGTTGTGTAAGGACTGTTGTAAATAAATCTTTTTTTTTTTAATTAAAATAAAGCTCAATATCATTTTTAATCTTGCCTTACATTGGAATAAACACCTTCTCTGAGGGTCTTAGGCAAACAAGAAGACTATGCGTGTCGGTACAAGAAACTGAAAGCAATGTAGTTTTTCATTAATTTTTTTTTAGTTCATTTTATCAGGAAAATGATGGCCATGCTTTGACCCGACAGTTTTTCCAAATGTTTCTTGTATTAGTCCGTCTTAAGCTAAAGCAGCTTCTGTGATGATTTCTTCATTGAAGTGTGTGGTGTTTGTGCAGTTCAGTCACACATCTTGCAAAACCACTTGAACAACATGCAGCAGAAACTGCCCCAATCCTGACATATTGTATTATTGTATTATTCAATGGCTGAGTTATAAATGTGAGGCTATAACATTTTTATGTGGTGATGCTGCTTCCGTCTGTCCTACCTACAGTGTCCCATATAATAATAGGTACTTTATTGATCACCTTGGGGAAATTATAATTACACCTCCCTCAACTTCTTTTTGTAGAGTAACTTCAAGTTGTGGCACCCTGCTCAAGGGCCATAGACATGCGGCGGCAGGGTTTGAACCGGCAACCTAATGATTATAGACAAGGGCTTAGCCCATTGAGTCACACGCTGCCCACTATGGCTGTATGTCTTGGCTCCCTCCTGGCTATCTGTCGATTGTTTGCCTTACCCTCTGGAGGTGTATTGCTGAGTGGAAGGTTGCTGGTTCAAATACCATGGTGGTTTGAGTGATGTCACTGTCGAGCGTCCTGTGTAGGGTCCCTACCCCCAAATTGTTACTGGAGATGGGTGACCCTGCTTTTTCAAAAGAATAATAATGTACATCACTTCGGATGGACGTTTTTGCGAAATAAAATAAAATGTTGCTAAGAAATTCCTTTAAATATTAATGTCATCGCGATTGATAGAGGTTGACCATTATTTGCTTCTCCTCACATTTGAAACTTGTTTTGCAGCCAGGATTTTGTAAAAAAGGCGGTAGGTTTCAATATTGCATTTTGCGTCTCTGTAACCCTTGGCTGCGGTTTGTTTACTTTCTTTGCCATTTCAGAACGAGGCTGCATATTTGTATCGATTATTGCGATTCAGTTGCACTTGTTCAACCGGCCTCGCCCAATTCACTCCCCCTACTTCATGCGTGGTAAAAGAACACGTGTCAAGAGTAAGACAGGCTTTCAGAATAGTCTCAAATGTAAAAATACCTTTTATCATTTAATCTCAAGAATTTCTCCAGACAGCTGCCTCATCAGTAGCCTAGGATGGTTAACCATGAGTTAATATTAAGTAGTACCCTCGAAAGTGAAACTAAAATACACCCTCTGGTTTTTCGTGCGTTATTCACGCTTTTGCTACATCGGAGAAAGCAGAAGGACAACTAATTGCAATTTGAGGTGGGTCTTTTCCTTCTTGATTCCATATTTTACGATTATTTTCAATGCGAATGGGCGTTAACCATGGAGAAGTTCATTAAGTGGCGTTTTAGAGAACATTTTGAACCATGCGACACGCAGATAATTCCAGTGAGATTGTCTTCGCAGATGCAATCATGACCCGGCCCATATAATAAGATTTTTTTGATCGGTGGTTCAGATGGCGTTTCGTGGATAACCAAGAGGTGCAGAACTGAAAGGTGGATTGTGCTTGTTCATTCTTCTGTTTATGGATAAAGTTTGTCCATTCAGCACAAAATTCATTCACTTACACTGCAGACCTTGACGCACGTGATTTAATTCATATGGGTCGGCTCGATGAAGTCTTGGGTAATTTTTACCAATTAAACCTTCAATGTAATAGGCGTTCACGGTTTCACAAATGGAGTTGCAATACTTGCGTGTAAAACATGAATTGCTTTTTTTCCATTAATTAATTAATTAAAAAAATTTAAGTGGGTTTACTGGTTGCCTCACACCTCTGGGATCTGGGTTCAAGCCCTAGTTCTGTGTGTGTGGACATTGCATGTTCTCTGCTTCTTGCGATAGGGGGTGAGGGGAGGGGGTTTCCTCCTTATACTCCAGCTTCCCCCCCACACTCTAAGAATATGCTAAGCTGAATCGGAGTTGCCCAATATTTGTGTGTATGCTGCACCGAGTTGATAGCCCATACTGGGTTATTTCTTGCCTGTTGCTTCTCAGATAGGCTCTGAGACCCTGCGTAGGAGAAACAAGTGTAGAGAATGGGTGGGTGTTTCATTTTTAGCTTTTTAAGGCATTAGTCTAATTGAGTACATCAATGGAATTTTCTTTTAACAGCCTGAAAAGATAGAAAATTAAAATCAATAGTCTATCTGTAAAGCGCATTGATTTGACTGCTTATGAATCAATCATTTCTCCTTACCCCAAGAACCTTATGGTTACTTTTAATTACTTTTAAATAAAGAGTTTAAATTGCAGATAAAGTATAGGCTTCATCCATAGTTTCATACTGGCTTATCAGCCAAATTCTGGCAGTTTCCCATACTTCTTGTTTTCATCTATAACATTTATTTTAATTTAATTGTCCATTTGAGTTGTCTGATTATGAATTATACTGCCTTTGTTACACCTGTATGTGTCTTTGTCACGGTCCCTCAACCTTCCCAAAATCACTGAGGTCAAACCCAGCCCTAGTCTGATGTTTGTCATTGACACAAGTCCAGACAAGACGGAGAGAAACAAGAAAATTTCAGATCAACATTATTCAGGAAGATAATTTGTTTTTTCCTTCAAACTGTGAGAAGAGGAAGACCTTATTGTTTCCAGAGGGGTCGATGTTCATTGTTTGTCTGACATATTTCTGTTTCATTGGAGGTATTAGCATACATATAAAAGCCGTGCCTTCAAAGTAAATGTATATGTGAGAGATTTTTAATCAAAGTTATTTATAAACTTTAGGCAGTTGCGATGACTTGTTACCATATTGGTCAGATGTCTGGTCAAAAAAAAGGATATTGCAAAGAGATTTCATTGAAACAAAATAAACAAACAAAAAAAAACAGACTTTAATGTAAACAACACCTAGATGAGAGGTAACCCATCCTGGAGCAGAGGAGTTAAAATAGTGGTGTTTGCTTTACCTCATTCATTAATTGGTTTAAGCAACTGTGTATATAATCATTCATATCTAATATTGTATCCTTTGTGTAACTAATTGTGAGTTGGTTATGTTTCAGCCAAAGAGGGAGCAAAAAAGACCAGGAATTTAAATTGTGTTCTGGGTGAGGATTTTCTGCTGCAGGCAAGGCTTCCCTGACAGTATGACCCATCCATCTTGGATTCTGGGAATTTTCTTTGGTAAGGGACAATCCGGATTCTGGATTGGTGGGGAGGACTGAAAAATCCTCAAGGATGTGGGTGAAGGAAGTAGTCTTTTCTGTGAGTGTGTGACAGAGAGAGAAAAAACTGTACTGTTTGTCAAGCAAAACTAAATTTTAAGAATAAATTATTTACATATTTACAGTATTCTGAGGACTGATTCTGTGCTGTGGGTCATATATTTGGGGCTTCAATGCATGATGATGATCTCACTAAGATTGTTTAAGTCATGCCCTTGAGCAATTATATAGTTTGTATGAGCTGTTCCAACAACAATAGGACAATTATTTTGGTAAAAGATAACAGGACACACTGCTTATTTAGGAACACAGTTTGATGGGGATTGATTTAATCATTTGAGTACGTTAACAAAGGTTCCTGGTAGCGTGCGTAAATAATGGTTTGACTACCAGATCCAGAGTACAATAGGGCCATGGGTACCTTGGCAGATTCAGGGGCCCCAGTACTTTGAAAGTTCATAAGTAAAAAACAAAAACAAAATACGTTTTTTTACAGAGATCAAATAATACAGAATAACATTAAGATAACCCAGAAGGTTATCCCGTTGGTTATGGGGCTCGAACCTGGACCTTTCAAGGGCTAAGGCACCAGCATAAACCACTGTACCATCGTGCCACTGTACTAGGCAATTCTAACATTTGGTTACATAACTTACACATTTATTCTGTCTGCAATTCTTTGCCAAGCCGCCTCCTTGCCTTTTATACCCACAGTATTGCTTTTTTTAGCGATTACATCTTTGTATTTTTCATACAGCTCCAACAGCAGCGTTTGTTCTGCAGCGGAAAAAAAAACACCGCTCTCGTTTTATACACTTTCCAACTCATCTGATCGATCTGTCGTTCATCCATTCATTTGGGCTTCTTAAATATTGCAGGTGTGCGGACTGAGACTATGCAAGTCTGTCTTGTATGAGCCTTGATTAGGTAAAGCTGAACTGCGTTAGTGGAAAGACATGAGGCTAAGTTTAGAGATCGCGCTAGTTTGAGTCAGACTTTTTTGTGAAAGTCTGACTTTTTTTAGCTACTTTTATGGAATACTCCCCAGGACTTCCTCATTAACCAGATAACTTAAGCAAAATGTAAGGATTGCCCAGTAGGAATGTAACTTACCTCTCTTGCTATTGGACAGTTTTCACAGCTGGCTTAAGTTATCGAGCTAATCAGGAAATCCTGCCTTGTGGAATATCTTCCTGAATTGCTCCGATAAAACATACAGCTGCATTAATGCTCTTGGATAAAGTGTACGCCAGACAAGTCACAGTAAGGCAACCTCTCATGTGTATGACGACAGTAACTTACTGCATATGATGAGAGTGAAACCTCTGGAAATTTGACTTCCAGTCTAAATACTTTTCTCGCGGTGAGCTGGGGTTAAGCTAACACCTTCCAGCAGGGTGTCATTAGTAAACACTGAGGTGCCGGAGCTCATGAAGACCATAGTAACATACACATGAATCGGTCTTTAACAACGATAATGTGCTATTAATTGCATAACCAAGTAGGGCTGGACAATAATTCGATATTAATATATATCGCGATATAATTTTTTTTAATAACAGTGATACGATTTTTAAACACATTTCCGATATTTCGATATACATATATACTGTATCATATAATATACAGTATATGAATAATTTAGTAAATTTTAGTTTAAATGGAAATATATTATTGTTAATAAGCTGAGTCTGAGAGTTTTATTTATTTGATAGTTTATTTCACATTTCTTGTTTGTAAAGGCTAAATACAAATAAAAAGTGAACCTTATTTTTTTTTGTATTGTTTTTATTTAAAAAAAAAATTATATAATTTTAATAGGAGGAGCCTGGAGGTATTATAGACTTTGCAAATTCAGTTTGCAGACATCCATTGTGTGTGTCCTCGGCAGTTTTTTCCTGAGGCTTTTTAATATTGTCCATATCGATATCGGAATTATATCGTATCGACCAAAATTAAGAAATATATCGTGATATAATTTTTTGCCATATCGTCCAGTCCTATAACCAAGTAACAATGGATTATTCTCTATGGACATCTGTTACTTACATCAAACTTTTCATCTGCGTTGCACTTTTCTTGCCCCTTTTTACAGTCCAACCCATTTCATTAGAATCCAAAAACGGCTCTCCTCTCCTCACTGTCTCTGCTCTCATTAGCATTAGCATCCACAAATGCTGCTCCTCTCCTCCTTTCCTGGTCACTCTCACTCAGTGTGCTTGCTAAAATATAAATGTATAAAATGAAATAATGTAATGACTGAAACTGAAAAAAAAATCTGTTAAAATAATATGAACATGAAGATTTTTTATATTTTGTTTAGTCACGGTCTACCTCGAAAGTTTATAAGTAAAAAACAAAATACTTAATAATTTACATTTCTCACAGATGCGATTGAAAGTATTTTATGGAGATCAAATAATACAGAATAACATTAAGATAACCCAGAAGGTTACCCCGTTGGTTATGGGGGTCGACTTTTGTTGTCTTTATTTATATCCTGTTTGAATTTAGGTGCTGAAGGCAGATAATGTGATCTATTCTAGAAGCCATGTACATTTGGGGATTTGCCTGTCATTCAGATATTCTAATATTTAAAAATGTCTATTATGTGCAATCTAAGCCAGTGTGACTTTAGTGACTAGTCTCTATCTTCTGTACAGTTTATGCAGCGACCGTGCAGATAAATTCACCTCCGGATCCCCCCTGTGGAAGTGGGAACCTCTGTAAAGCTCTGTGCACCCTGAGAAATTACCTCAATTTCACCAATCGGAGGACATTCATGGTGAGTCAGAAGAGGCCACTGACACAAGGGGACATGTATTGCGGGGTATTCTGTTTTGTCAAAGAAAGAAAAGAGAGAGAGAGTTAGAGGAGGGGTAGAAGGAAAGCAGAGTGCAGGGGGGGACAGATATTCGCAGGTTTACCAGAAGGACTTGTTACCTCTCTCAAACAGAGCTACAATTTCCCGCTTAACTACACCATCAGAGTGCATTATGAAGAAATCTTCCGATTTAACAACATCAGCCAGCTGGTGAGTCACTGCTCCCCGTCAGCACTCGCGCTACTTGGGCCGATCTCCTTCATTTAGCAATAACTCAGCAGAGACTTTAATCCCAAGTGAATTACTCATAATTTTAGCCAATTATATGGCTAGAGATATCCTGTGGAGGTTTTGAAATATATAATTTAGGGATGTCTTTCAGATTAAGTAGATGTATTATCAGTGATACTCTCCTTTCAGACAGCAGGTATTTTTATATGCACAGTATATGTACATAACAAATCCACCTCTATTTTTAATCAACACCTACCACCACCCCCCCACCCCCCCTTGCAGAGGTCCAGTGTACCTGACCTACCGGAAGAGAACCTCCAAGAGCTTTGGCTTGAAGTATATATGGAGGTTCTAAAGAAGGTTCTGAAGGTGCTGCCACAGAAACACCCATCACACAAGTACACCTTTCATCTGGAAAAGCTATTCAGGGATGTGCAGCAAATCAGCAGCTTTCAGGTGCTGGAGCCTCATTTATTAATCTTGCCTTTCGCTCTCACTGTTCATCCTGCTCTTTCATATGAGGTGATCTTATACTCATCTGGCCTCCTTCCAAACCATGTCCTTTACTTCTCAGTGAAAAGGAGCCTTCCTTGTTTTTTTTTTTTTAATCACTCCAACTTTTGAGTTCCTTGATTTACATTAGACATAATCAGGAAACTCCATACACTGTATGAACATGTATGTTTATCTGTGTACGTTCTTGAACTAACAGATGGAACATCTAGCCCAAATACAGAAGATCTTGGCCAATATGAAGGACCCTAACACCAAAATGTGGAAGTCAGTGAAGCCAAAGGCCCTAATGGACAACTGCTACCGCACCATGCACTGCCTCTTCCCACACTGCTTTCCAACTGAAAACAAGCAGGCAGACTGTAAGAATGCCACCTATTATCTGGTCACTCACTCAGAGTGCTCCCTAAACCCCCATCTGTTTCCTGCTCACTCTCACTCAGAGTGCTCCCTAAACCCCCATCTGTTTCCT